CTAAAAACACTAAAATTAGCCGAGTGTAGTGGCATGCCCCTGTAGTCCTAGCTACTCAGTAGGCTGAGGTAGGAGAATTGCTTGAACCCAGGAGGCAGATGTTGCAGTGAGCTGAGATTGGGCCACTGCACGCCAGCCTGGGAAACAAAGTGAGACTCTGTGTCACAAACAAAACAAAACAAGACAAGAGAGAAGACTTTCTTCTAAAGATCAAAAGATTTAAAAAATCTGATGCCCTTATACTGTACACCAAAAAGTGATGTATCTGTTAAAGTGCGTATGGCAGAGAGTGTGTGTGAGTATATCCTACATTGTCCCTCTTGGATCTCAATCTATCAATACCCTCTTCTTGTCTTCAGCCTCTCCTTTACCTCTTTGCTACTCTTACAAATATATTTAAGTTGCTTCCAATGCCCGCCTGCCAAAAACCAAAAGCAGAAAACCTCCTCTGATTCCACAGCTCCTCTAGGCATCAAACTCTTTTCTTCCTTAACAACCAAACTTCTTGAATAAATAGACGACATTTTTCTTTATCTTTTCACTTCCCATTTGCTTTGCAACTCATAGCAATTAAAGCAAAAACGTTTACCTGAAACCACTCTCGCTGAGGAGTATTCAACAGGTGATGGGATCATGATAGTAAGCACAACAGACCTGGCCCTGGCCCTCACAGCTCTGAGGTCTGGCTGCCTTCGGTCCTTATCTCCTGGGTAGCTAAGAAGTCCCTTCCCACTTGTCCTTTATTGTCCCCTTCTACCCACTCAACTCAGCTCCTGCGAGGTTTAAGGTGAGCCATTCCTGATTTAAATGATGAAAAACATGGACCTTATACTTTTCTACCTGATGCCAAATCTGTGTGTAGCAGGTCAGCAAGATAAAATCAGCAGATGACTCTTTCCAGCTATATTTATGACTGATGTGAAATTGACCCTTTAGAACTCTGTGGTGGCTCCTAACATTACCAGAACTGCGTGTGTCATCTTTATTTATGTTCCAGGCACAGTCAGAGCCTTGGTTTCTTAACAAGTTACTTAAACATTCAAGAAGGACTAATTTCTTGACAGACCTGAGTTTTCAAGCTCTAAGAGGAAGAGGGAGCAAAAATCTAAGTGAAATAAAACCACACTGAGTTTCTGTAAAGGGAATTTTTTTTTTTACTTAAAATAAACTATAAATGTCTAGTCTGTTTTCAATAAAAAAATTTTAAATAACTAAAGGACTTGATTAGCTAATTGAAAAAGATTGCTGAGGAATTAAATGATAATGCACTGTCATACTTTCAGTGTTTTGCATAACTGGCAAGAGATGAATTTGCAAGTGGAAAAAATGGATGAAAAGGTGAATCTCTTTTTTAAAGCAAACACTTGGGTATTTGAAATTCATCAATAATGGCAAATAAGAAAATGTCTTCATAGAGAAATGCTAACCAGAAAATTAGCACATGAAATATTATATAGACACTCTTACCATGACACATGTGCACACACACACACACAAATGCAAGCTCTCTTAAAAAAAACCACCAGTCTTGGGGAGCAAAAACTATTGCTAGAGAATATAACTTCTATTATGTTGGTGCAAAAGTAACTGCCATTAAAGTATGGCAAAAATCGCAATTACTTTTGTACCAACCAAATATTTTAATAATAACTAAGCTATTGTTTTAGCTGTTTGCTTCAGAAGTTAATATATGTAAAAGAATACAATTATTGACATTGTTTACAGTAAAATGATTTTTTTAGATGAGAGGATTATGTACATGTACTTGAGGTGGAGAGACAGAAGAAATTAGAAGAAGGGATTTAATCATTCACCTCAAACAGAACAGGCCAAAAGATCTTATAAGCTCAGTGAGAGAAGGAATCATGTGTGTTTTGTCTACTACAATGCCCTCAGTGATTAGGAAATGTGTAAATGAAGAAACTCCTATTTCCCATATCACCCAGTACCCACAGGGCCAGAGGAGAGATAGTGAGGGCCAGAAACGGAACAGTGAAGATGGAAATAATATGGTTTGGCTCTGTGTCCCCTCCCAAATCTTGTCTTGGATTGTTCTCCCATAATTCCCATGTGTTGTGGGAGAGACTGGTGGGAGATAATCTGAATCATGGAGTGGTTTCCCCCACGCTGTTCTCATGGTAGTGAATACGTCTCACAAGATCTGACAGTTTTATCAGGGGTTTCCACTTTTTCATCTTCCTCATTTTTTTTTGCCACCACCATGTAAGAGGTGCCTTTCACCTCCTGCCATTGATTCTGAGGCCTCCCCAGGCATGAGGAGCTGAAAGTCCAATTAAACCTTTTTTTCTTCCCCGTCTCAGGTATATCTTTATCAGCAGTGTAAAAACTAACACAGAAATGAAGAGAGAAGATTGGTTTGAGTAATACTGTCGCCAACTAGTCTCAGTTTAGTGGTGCCATGTTGTTGGGCGAATGTGAAAACGTGGAGCCAACAAGAGTAGCCTATTCTCTTACGAAGTATAGATGTGAAGAAAAGGAATGGAAAGGGATGAGGTGATGGCTGGAGGAGGCTGCTGGATCAAGAAGGAACTTTATGTGTTTGTTTAGAGAGAAGATGGAGTAAGCAAAGGGCAAAGATGAGAAAACAATTTCTGAGGAAGCAGCTGGCCCTACCCACACACTAACATGGTGGCTTAGAGGCCCATGGTGAAGTTGGAAGACCAATGGAAGGAGAATCAAAGGCCCTTACGCTAGCCCTGCCGTAGGTCCACCTACTCGTCCACCTACTGAGCTAACTTGGGTAGGCCACTTGAGCTCTCCAAACCTCAACTTTATCACCTGTGAAATAAAGAGATGGGAAAATACGTGTGTTTTGCATCAAAAAGTAATCAAGAGGAAAGGGACGTAAAGGAGACACAGCATAGGAAGACACAAGGCAGTGTTACAATGCATTTGACGGAACCTCGTTGTGAAATAGCACCAATGGCTGTGCCCCTAGAGTCAGCTAGCAATTTCCAAGCCCAACAGAACTGCAGACCCAACCCGTTTAGTGGCACCATTATTCGCTTCATCATTGTCCTTTTCTGCACTGACTTGGCTGAGCAGGCCGCTGTGGGAACTCTGTTTTCTAAGCAGAAAGAACAAGCTGAGTTGTGCTATTGGTCCTTTTGTGTCAAGATTTAGCAATCAGCACATTAATAAAGTCTTGAAGATTAGTATCAGTTTGAAAGGCAAAATCCACACAAAACAATTAATTAAAAGCATTAAAACAAACGCATTGCTGAGGATGGAATTGGATCCAGGAGGCAAAATGGGTTAAAAAAATTTTTTTAAGGAATGCTCTAATTGAAAACCGACAGCGGCAGGACACAGTATAGTTAAAACAGTATCTTATCAGAAAATTAGCAAAATGTAATTTTTATTGGGTTTTACAGATGTTATTTTTAACCACATCAAAAATCCCACCTCGTGGCTATTGGCACAAATTGTCATAATTACTATAATTTGAAGTCTGAGCGATGGAATGGCTGTTGAGATAGTTATCTCATCCTCAGGCTAAGTCTGCATTAGTTGAGCAGCCAGGAGAAGGAGCTCATGTTTTTGTACTTGGTCTGGACTTCATTTGTGTCCTATCTCATTCTTACGAATATTGAAGAATAATTTTTTTCCACCTGAAACACTGGAGAAAATCAGGAGGTTAATATTAAGAGTGTTGAGGTCACCTTTAATTAACATACCAATCACCTCACCTCCAATCTGTGAGCAAAGTGTTGCATTTTGTTCTATTTTTACATTTCCTAGTGAACTCTATCATATTTAATGCATATACTAAATTCTGGGCATAATATCTTCAACTACCTACATGAGGACTGTTGATGATGCCAAGCTAAGAAAAAGAAGCTTTTAATATTTCTGATATCCAATTTAACATCTTTCCATTGCCACTAGAAACATAACTAAACATGTCTGAAGCAAATCTAACTTATAAGTAAGAACACAACATCAGAAAATATCTCAGAAGAAATTCTGTGGATTACTTATACTCACAGGTTCACAGTGACATCAAATGATAAAAACAATTATGGTAGTGCTATCATTTAGATTTGGGGATATAGAGGGCCCAGCTAAGAGGCTCTAGGAATTTTCAGCCAAGATGAAGAGGGAAGTCTCAATAATAAAATATGTGTAATCAGACTTACGGACACCATTTCAAACAACAAAAAAGTAAAAATTAACAGACTAGGCTGGGTGCGGTGGCTCATGCCTGTAATCCAAGCACTTTGGGAGGCCAAGGTGGGCGGATCACAAGGTCAGGAGTTTGAGACCAGCCTGGCCAACATGGTAAAACCTCATACCTACTAAAAATACAAAAAAAAACAAAACAGATGTGGTGGCTTGTGCCTGTAATCCTAGCTACTGGCTGAGTCAGGAGAATTGCTTGAACCCAGGAGCTGGAGGTTGCAGTGAGCTGAGATCATATCCCTGTACTCCAGCCTAAGTGACAGAGCAAGACTCTGTCTTGGAAAAAAAAAAAAAATTACAGACTAATTTAATGATCACTCAAAGCTGAGTGATGTCATTGTCACTTTACGCCATAGAGAAATTTCAAAATGTTTTCTTTCAAATTCTTAGCCACCATTTAACTAAAGTATTGTATGAAGAAGGGACATGGATTAAATTCACACATTCAAAAGATATTATGTGCTCATACTGTTACAGAAATGCATGAGAAGTGGTGCTCCCAGTAGAATAACACAGACAGGAATAATATAGACAGCAAACATACAAAATAATTATGTAATAGAATGCCAGGTAGCGTACACGTTTTGGAGAAATGTCAAACAGGGTCGGGAAATGGGGAGTGATGGCAGGTTAAATAAGAACGCCCTCTCAAATGAGGTGATATGGAGGAGAGACCTAAAAGAAACAATGGAAAAATTCAAGGAGATACACGGGGAAAGGGGATTCCAGACAGAAGAGACAACACGTGCGAAAATGCTGAGGTAGAAACATGGCAGGAGCTTAGTGAACAAGCACAGAGGGGTGGGGGAGAAGGCGAGGCAAGCAGGCAGGCTACATCATGTGGGCCTTCCATATACCATGGTAGGGACTTAGGTCTTATTCTGAGTGTGGCTGGAAGCTCAGAGGGTTTTGGGCAGTGGAGTGATACAATCTGACTAATGTTATAAAAAGTTGATTCTGCTGCTGGATAGAGGATAGCGGTGAAGGCCATGAGAACAGTGACAAGGCTGTTACAAGAACTGTTCAAGCCAACTAGATAGTGGCTTGAACCTGCACGATGGGTGTGAAGGAAGTGAACACTGGTCAGATGCAGGATGTATGCTGGACGTGGTACCAATAGGACTTGCCAATGAACTGGATGTAAGAAATGGGAAAGAGAGGAATCTGAAATGGCTCCTCGGTTTCTGGCCTGAGAAAATCAATAAATGTATTGATCTTCATTGGAACGGGAAGACTTGAAGTAGTATGGGTTTTAGATGTTGGTATGGAAATCAAGAATTATGTTCCAGCTCTCTTAAGATTTCCTGGCCACAGACTGTGAGATGCCCATTAGACATTCAAATGGAGATGACAAATAGGATATTGAATATATGGGTCTGAGTGCAGAGGAGAGGTTGGACCAGAGTTATAAATTTGGAAGCCATCAGCTCATACATATCATTGCAAGCCTGAGGCTGGATGCATTCACCTGGACTGAGGATGGATAGAAAGGAGAATCCAAGCGGGCATTGGAAACCCAGGAGTATTTCTCACACGTAACTGAAAGAGATTACTTGACCTCTATAGGGCCTTTTAAACACTACAACAAATAATTAAATAGGCTGGCTTTGAAGAGACAAGACGGATAACCAGGGATTCGGAGTGGACCATAATCTAAATATGCTAAATACTTACCTTATTATTGGTATTACTTTTATTTTTACACAAAGCCAAATACTGAATAAATGAATATATAGTGTCAGGTTTTGAGGAACTTTTACAGTAAATACTAACTAAGCCTTCTTGTGATGCAGATGGCCAATGGATCACATTTGAGAAATGCTGCTCTAACGTGCATCTTGGAAAGGAGCAACAATTAAGGGAAAAACATAAATTCTAGAGCAGCCACCAATTCTTTCAAGGGATGCACTGTGTCAGTAAGTGAAGAACCTGTGTCTTCACTCGAAATTGTGCAGCAAAAAAAGAGACAGAAATGACTGTAGAAATTTAGGTTAGCTATCAGAAAGAAGCATGTCCTAAATAAAGAAGTCATGTGATGCTAAAAGACTAAGAAGAGTCTTGGAAAAATCTAAAGGAAATGGATGAAGAATCTTACCCTAAAGTAATTTAAAGTAAAACATTTTACAGAGTTACTTGAAATAAATTTAATACTTGTACATGCTCTGGATTTTGCTTGCTAAGTTAAAATTATATTTCTAGAGGGGTTTTTTTTTAGACACAAAACAAATTTTGAGTCATTTGAAATGGGAATCAATTATTGTAATACCTCAATCTTCTAGAAAGCAGCTTTCTGGGAAGATTAAATACTCAGTTTAGACATTCAGAATGTAATTAAATCTAGAGTTCTCTAATGACACCAGCCAAAAAGATGTCATAAGATGTGTTGGGATGAGTTGGCTTATGTCCTGGGGAAAAAAAGGATGGTGATTGCTCTGAAAACCAACAATTGCGAAAACTAAAGAGAAAAGAGAAGAGGTGAGGACCGTCGTTGGAAATGGAAGAAAGCCGAAGGTCAATTAAAGAACGGAGGGGGCAGACACCCTAATGTTTGGAGTCAACTAAAAGAACCCCAAACCATTCTGCAACAGCTCTAGAAATCTAATCCCAGGAACTCACCTCATTCTAGAAACTTGTTAAACCGAAAACAAACCCTAGGCAGCTCAGCCATGAGACGAACAGCAGTGAGATGAATAGATATACAGTTGGAGGGTGTACTGGACCATAATAATAAATGTAAGTGATCAAACTTTGATTATTATTTTTAAATAAACTTTATTTAAAGGAAAATGTAAGTTCTATTTTCAAATAGCTTCTAGTACGTGGTGAAACTCTATCTACTGTATATGAGACGTGGCGTAAGGCACTGGAAGTATTAATGTATGACAGAGTTCCAACTTTCAGTGATTTAGGAGGGTGAGGGAGAAGGAAGGAGGCTGATAAGGACAGATGAGTAGAACAGGAGCTTACAATACAAAACGGTGTGGGGGTACAAAGAAAGGGAGCATAACCTCTAGCCAGGGCTGGTAGAGAGATTAGGGAAGGATTTTCAAAAAAGGCAATGTTGACTTGAGCTTTGGATGATAAATAGTGCTCAAGATGAAAATGATTTAAAGATTTGAACTTCAGCTTTTTGGAAATAATCCATTTTTTGAAATACTTGATTTCCCCAATTGCACTAAATAACTGAGGCATCATTCTATATAAATCAATTCAAGTGAACATCTGGCAGTTCTTATTGTCGTAGCAAAGTTTAGAATACTGAATCAACTTTGAAAATTAATCAGGTATCTACAGCAGACAGGTAATCCACATATTAGAAATATGTTTTTATTCAATATGGAGTAGAGCAAAATGCTTTCAGCTTAGGAAAAGATTCTATGGAAACAAATTATCCTGCAGGGTTACTATGAGTTGGATTCCAGTTGGGCAATATTCAGGCAACAAAAGGTATGTTTCATGTTTTCATATTCAGTTCCTAACAGAACTATGAACAAAAATAAAAAGAAATCTAAACTTTCTCAAATCTCAGAGGTATTCTGTTTTTCATTCTCTAATATAATTTATTTTGCCAGTTTCGCTAAGGAAGATTGACTGGCTGCCACTTTTTAACCTGGTTTACATGTGCTCAGAAACAAATAACACAAAGGAATTTTTCAATAAAATATGACTAATGAATTAAAAAGTGCTATTCAGTGCCTAGTGAACATTTTATATTATAAGCCCTTTTTCTTCACTCAGATATTCCCCAGAACAAAACCCCCAAAAAGAATTTCATTGCAGAAGCATGAAATATGATAACTAATAAGAACAATTATAATCATTTCCTTAGCATACAGCAACTATGAATGGCACGTGAATAGCTCCAATATATTCATTTAATATTACTGATAATTAACGTGTGCACTAAATTAGAATTGCCTTTATCAGCCAGAGTTGTAAAGCGCCACAAAAGCTGAGAGATTACTAGAGGAGCTGATACCTGGATGAAGAATATACCCAGCCTGCTGATAATGGAGGAGTGTATGGACTTTTAATTCCAGAAATAAATAGAATGTTCTCAAACATTGGACTTCATCAAAATTTAGCTGAATTAATTAGTAAACAAATACTGCATGTTGCCTACATCCTTTTATTCCCTGCAGTAGCGAAATACCTTTTCTCATTTGCATCTGCTGGATATAGAATTGTCCTAATTTTGAAATTTCAGCAAGCCCCACAAAATGCATGGGGAGTAATTTTTTGTAGTGATTTTTACACAGTTACATCAAGCAGTAAAATGATTTGTTCAAGACACTTCTTTGACTTTCTCCCATATATCATCAGAAAAATAATTTTTTTAGTTTAGAAATATGTGCAAAAAAAAAAAAAAAGCGTTGCCCCACAAGTCTCTTACACTCAAAATAATGTTAATTCAGAACATTTCTGAAATAAAATAAAATTGGCTGAAACTGACCAATTTGTGATACGTCTGAAAGAAGCAAATGTATTCGAAACAACGTAGACATCAAGAACGCCAACACTTGGAGTATTAGAATATGTGGCTTGTGGTAGGTGCTTCAATAAACGTTTGTGGAGTAAAGAAAATTCATTGAAACTTTTTTTAAGTGAACCTTGAATGAAAAGGTAAAACTAAGTGTTCTGAATAGTCATTACTTATTTTTTGAAGTAAAATAATATTTCGTATATTTGCAACCTTAACACCTCAAAACCCCACATACATACTTATTTCCTTTCCTTTGACACTCTCTTAATCTGAGCCATCATTACCTCACACCTTGTTGACTGAAACAGTCAAAACAGGTCTCCTGTCCCATTTGCTCCCCAGTATTCTCACCCATTTCCCATTCTATACACTGAGTGACTTTTATAAAACATTTTCCACGTCCCCTCATTCCCTCAAGGTAAAAACTAACGCATTCAAGACACTTCACAGTGTGGCCAGAGCTCATCTCTCCAACCTCTTTCATCTCTGCGACTCAACCAGTAGCACTCGGTGCTCCCGCCATATTCAACTTTGCGCAGTGTTTCTACATGCCATGCTTTCACCCCAGGACCCTTGCACATGCTGTTTCCGGTCGGAAAGCTTTGCTCTCTCTACACTCTCGGTCTTCTGTCCTTAAATCTGCCTGACCCCTACTTGTCTTGAAGGTTTTAGTTGAGATACTCTTACTCCAGGAGCCTTCCCGAACTGGACCTTCACCTCTTTCAAGACTACATTAATCCTGTATCACTCTGTGCTTTTATTTAGCTGATGATCAATAATTTGGGTTATGGCGTATTACCTCCTAGTACATTCCTTGAGCTCCAACAACTGACATAATGCCTGGCACATCATAATCATTCAATAAATATCCTGTGAATAATTACTGTCTTCAAAAATGCAGTAATCTTCTTCGGTGTAGTTAATATAATAATTTGTATTATAAATGACAATATAGTTAAAAGAGAACTATAGCAAAAGTTCAGAGGCTTAAATCTTCATCCTTGCCCTTTTATTAACTGTAAATAATTTCTCTGGACCCCTATTTCATCTGCAAGCTAGGTATATGCCCTGTCCCTTCTACCTTCCCAAAGGATCCAGAGCTCTCAAGTAAGCGAAAGTGCTTTGGAGAACATCAGGCACCAGTCACGCGAGATACTACGGTCGTTATCGTCACCATTCCTAAACACCTAAATTGCCATTTTGCTTTGTCATACTCCTGCTCAAAAGCTCCCAGGGTCCCCACCCTCCTGCTCTCCACTCACCCACTGCACCCTCACCAGACTTCTGTCATCAACAGTATGTTCCCAAAGCACAGCTTTGTGAATTGGTGACCAATATCACGGACATTTCTGTGTTTTACTCTAGGTTTTACCTGCCTGTCAGCAACTCCAGGGGAATGTATCCTTGCCTCTTGGATTATGGGCTCAGGGCTCCAGATACGAAGCCTGGCTGTATTCTCCTAGTCAACAGACATGGTCCACGGGCCTCCCAAAGCCACAGCTAAGCCGGTACCATCAGAGTGAACCTCAGGATAGCCGCAGAGAATGCTCACCTACTGGGCCAACCAGACAGCAACTGGCTGTTGCCGGCAGTCATTTTGCAACAGTAAGTAAAGCCTCATTAGAGAAAGTCAACACACGGATGGCAAGCAGACATGGAACTATCTCATCCTTGGGGGCACACTTGAGCTGCTGGTGCGTGCCCCCTGGGGCTAGCACTACTCAGCATTAGCTGGTAATCAGGGGGATGCAGTTCCACATGTGATACTGAATGTGGTATCTTCGAGTTTCTCCTAGAAAATGGATTTTAAAAGTTTTTTTCTTCCTTATAACAATTCTTGAAAAAATTAAAATTTAAATCCATAATCAACTCATGCTTACAGAGAAAAGAGGTAAAATTTATTTAAAAACAAGTGTTGAAATCTTTGTAAGTAAAGGTTTTATTGATTCAAAGTATTATTGTAAGAATAATCATCATTGATTTGACTCTTTGCTTTACCTCTAGTTCAGCTGCAGGTCTGCAATGTGATTAAAACATCAAGTTAACGCACAGAAAAATGTCTTATTTTCTACAAAATCAGTATCCAATGGGGGAAAAAAGTCCATGTGACCCAGGAAACAGAACCTTGAGAAGCATTTTATTGTTAAAATTCCAACCTAGCTTTTCTATCTGAATCTTTCAGAAATGTTTTTGGTTCTATGGTTTTGGTAAGATCCAGGTTAACACAAGCTTGTCAGAATTGCTTTCTTCAGAAGTAAGCAGTTAGATCAGGAAATAAACCACAAAAATTCCTTAATTGCTAGTCATCTAAGCAAGGTCTTATACTTTGGCTGGAAAAAAAAATACACCAAAGGAAAGAAATACCTAACAATCTTTTTCTGAGTATTTTTTTTTCACACGAGCTAAGAAAAACAGCATAGCCTTAGTCAAAAGAATAGAAAGGAGAAAGCTCTTCAAACCTTTCTTTCTAGGTAGAATTAGCCATTTAAGCTTTGTCCACATTAGCACTAAGCTGGCAAGTCTGGAGTGTCTTCCCTAACATTACTTTGCCAATGTGTTTATTTAATATTAATCCTGTGTGTTTTAGAAATTGGTCTGAACTGAGATATATAGGAATGACCTCCAAAAAGACAAAACCATGTGCTAGGAGTACCTTAAACTATTTGTCATAGTAATTTATTTAGTATTTGTATAAGGTTTATAATGAAATTATGCTTCCCATTTACAGAATGTCAACATATTGTTAGATGGTTGACCATGGACCATTGCTCATGTTCTCCAGGTATGGACATAGCTTGTCTAATGTCCAATCGCTGGCAGGGTAAGTGTTTTAGAAAAGCTTAAATAAGTCGTTTGTGTTTACTGACTTCATGGTTCAGACACAACTGATCAGCAGAATCAATTGATTAGCAAATAGAAACTAAAAGTGACAGTAATAAAGTTACTAGTTATCAGTTATAACAGGCCACTATCATGCTAGGAAGGTTAAAAATGTATACATTCTGCTTCTCACAACCACTCTGCAAAGTAAGTTTTATTAAATCTATGTTACAGAAGAGGAAACTGAGGATGGGAGAGGTTATGGGACTTTTCAAAATATTAAGGTTTGAATTAGAATAACCCTGCACAGCAGGAATAATATAGCTCTGTCTTCTGGTACAGTCGCCATGCAGAATTCAACTTGCCATTTCTCTGCTTGCCAGGTCTTATTTCTTTGTTTTACTTTTTAAAAGTGTATAATAATGTGCATTTAGATGCATAGAAATATTAGCATAGTAATTCAATATTAGCATAGAATTTGAAATTAGCACAGAATTTCAAGTGTAACTCTCATGAAATTGTTGATGAATCTGAGACTTGCAGAAGATAGAGTCTTCCAGGATAAAGTCCAGTTGTTGAATACACGACCGTAAACGAGGCACAGAGGAGGTGACCACGTCC